TTTACCAATGAGGTTTATAATGTGTGTCCTATAAATTTTTAGATATTAATTTCTTGCCTTTGCACATTTTTAAACAAATACACCCATTTTATTGGCTGTATCTTTCTTTAGGACTTGTTGAATTTATCTCCTCATTTTATTGGAATAGATATGCTATTTTTGTTCTCTCTAGTTTTCATAAATAATTGATCTGGTTATAAATTGAAATGCACATTGTGACTGCATTTCATGGTACTTGAAAATAGAGAAAAGCACAAAAGGAGAGGATTAAAATCACCTATAATTCTACCACTCACAGAAAGCCACTGGGTTGTAATGACCAGTAAGGACCAAGGCTCGACCAACCAGAAGTCAGTTCTGTGGTCAGCACTGACTGTTCCCACTGGAGGCACAATGCCCCAGCACTGACTGCTGAGGTGGCTGTGAATCAGGGCCAGAAAGAGGCCAGAATAGAGAAGCAGGGACTTATCTGTTGCCTCTGTGGCAGCTTTTGATCAGGATTTGCCTCCCTCTTTCTCTCCCAGTTTGGTCAGCAGCCACGCCTCCATTTCTCTTCAAGCCTCCAGCAGAGTTGCTAATCAGCTTCACCTTTCTTATCAGGCCCCATTGATAGTCCCAGAGATGCTGACTGGCATAGGAATGACCAATCAGAACCAAATCTGGGTGCCATGGGGAGCCAATGGCTGCTTAGGAGGCGGAGCTTCTGATGCTGACTGGCATAGAAACCGACCAATCATAACCAAATCTGGGTGCTGTGGGGAGCCAATGGCTGACTAGGAGGCTGAGTTTTGATGCTGACTGCATTGAAACTGACCAATCAGAACCAAATCTGGGTGCTTTTGGTTGCCAATGGCTGCCTAGGAGGTGGAGCTTTTGACACTGACTGGCATAGAAACCAACCAATCAGAACCAAATTAGCTAACAGAGGAGGGCAGTTGGAGGTGAGATCAGGCCAGCAGGGGAGCGTTGTTAGGGCAGGCAGGCAGAGGCAGTAGGAGCAACTAGGCCATCAGGGGAGGGCAGTTAAGGGTGATCAGGCTGGCAGGCAGAGTCAGTTAGGGGTGATGAGGCAGGTGAGCAGTTATGCGCCAGCTGTCCCAAATTGTGAGAGGGATGTCCAACAGCTGATTTAGGCCCACCTAAACCGGCAGTTAGACATCACCCTAGGGGTCCTCAATTGGAGAAGGTGCAGGCCAGGCTGAGGGAACCCTCCCCTCTGTGCACAAATTTCATGCATCAAGCCTCTAGTCCTATGTAATAAAAGCCTAATATATAAATTGTCCCTTCAACCGTGAATTCAACCACTCGCTATGATGTGTGCTGACCACCAGGAGGCAGCATGAAACATGGTGGGCTTCAGTGACACGGCAGTGGAGATGCTGCAGTGGGTGGCAGTGGAGATGCTGCTGGCCCTGATGGGCCCCAATGAGAGCAGGACTGCAGTAGGATGGTGGAGCAGGTAATAACATTTTCATCGTCCCAAACTGAAACTGTGCCCACTAAACAATAACTTCCTGTGCTCCCCTTCCCCCAGTCCATCTTTTTGTCCCTATGAATTTGCTTGCGCCAGGTAACTCATATTTGGAATCATACAATATTTGTCCATTTGTAACATACCTATTCCATTTAGCATAAGGTCTTTAAGGGTCATCTATATGGTATATCTGTCTAAATTTATTCTTCTTAAGGTTGAATAATATTCCATTGTATGTATACATCACATTGTTTATCTTTTCATCTACTATTGGATACTAGGTCTTATTTTGGTGATTTATTATACTATTAATATAATATACATGAAGTTAAATACATGACTATATTTTTTGCTATTTTTTGTTATTTGTTTCATTTCTTTTGCTATTTTGATTACAAGGCATAAATATTAGTGTTCACTGCCTTAAGCAATCAGTGATCTTTTGTATTTAGACTTTCCATTTCCCTTTGATTCTTTATGCATTCCTGTTTCTGCCTGTGGTAATTTTTCTTCTGCCTAAAGAAATTTTTTTAGTATTTATTTTAGTGTATTTATCTAGACATTTTTTTTTGCCTTTGTGTGACTTTGATATCTTTAGTTAGTTTTGAAAAAAATTTGGTCATTATCTCTTTAAATAGTTTCTGTTTCATTTTTTCCTCTTGTTCTTAGATTCCAGAGCTTTTCATTATACTTATTTCTTAATGCTCTTTCAGTATTCCATCCTTTATTTTCTGTGCTTTAATTTGGATATTTTCTACTGATTTACTTTTCAGTTCATTAATACTCTCTTCTGCTCTGCTGTGTATTATATGCTATTAATCCCATCCATTACTTTCTTTTTTTAAAAATATATTTTTATTGATTTTGTACAGAGAGGAAGGGAGAGAGATAGAGAGCTAGAAACATCGATGAGAGAGAGTCATTGATCAGCTGCCTCTTGCATACCCCCTACCGGGGATATGCCTGCAACCAAGGTACATGCCCTTGACCGGAATCGAACCCGGGACCTCTCAGTCCCCAAGCCGATGCTCTATCCATTGAGCCAAACCGGTTTTGGCATAATCCCATCCATTACTTTCCTAATTTTAGTTTTTGTATTATTTAGTTTGGAGATTTGGTTTGATGATTTTTCATACATTCCAGGTTTTCAGTGAAATTCATCTTCTAAATTTATTTTTGGATATATTAGTTTATAAAATAGTTTATTAAACAGTTTATAAAAATTCTGTCTAATATCTCAAAAATGTGAATTGTCTGTGTTTTAATATATTTACATTTTAATTAATTTTTATTGTATTAAATATGTATGTAAAGTAAAATTTACAATTTAAAACAAATAGTTCAGTAGCACTAAGTACATTCACATTGTTTTGCAACCATAACCACCAACCATATCCAGCATATTTTTATCATCCCTAACAGAAACTTTATATGAAGCTTATCTAATAAAGAAGGAATATGCTAATTGACCCTCAGACCATCACAAAGATGGTGGCTCCCACAGCCAATAAGGAGGGAATATGCTAATTGACTGCCACACCCTCAAAAATGGTGGCTCCCATAGCCACAAGATGGCAGTGCCCAGTCCCCTCAGTCCCACCAGGGTGGCAGGCACACAGCAAGGCTGGGTCTGCCTCCAGGTGGGCCTGGCTGCTCCGTGTGCCTGCCTCCTGAGTCCCCCAGTCCCCTCAGCCCCCCAGCCACCCAGGGCCAGCAGGAGGTGCAGGTAACCAGGGCTGGTCGAGGCTTGAGCTGCTGGCAGTGGCAACAGCAGAGGTTTGAAGGAGTGTTGCCTTCCCCTGATCACCAGGTTGTCTCCTGCCCCTGAGGGTAGGCCGGGCTGAGAGACTCCTCCCTCCAGTGCATGAATTTTCATGCACCTGGCCTCTAGTTAAACAATAACTATTACCCTCTGGCAAAAAAAAAAACAAAACAAAAAAAAAAAACACCTTTTATCCTTTAATAGCATTGAAATATAATTGACATGTAACATTATGTATTTTTTAGGTATGTGAAATGTATACTACAATAAGGTTATTTAACACATCTTTCCCTTCACATAACTGCCATTTTGTTGCTGTTATGGTGAGAACATGAAACTGTACTATCATAGCAACTTTCAAGCACACAATAAAATATTGTTAACTATAGTAACCATGATGTACATTAGATCCCTGGGACTGATTCAGCTTACAATTTAAAGTTAGTACCCTTTGACCAACATTTCCTTATTTCCTCCATCCCTAACCCCTGGCAACCACCATTATACTATGTTTCTGTGAGTCTTCTTGAAATTGAAGAGACTTAGCATGTGTTCCAATATATGGTCTATCTTTGAAAATGTCCCATGTGCACTTGAAAAGAATACATATTCTGTAGATTTGGGGTGAAATGTTCTTAAGGTATCAATTAAGTCTATCTCATCTAGTGAGTCATTTAAGATTCCTGATTCTCTGTTGATTTTCTTTGAGGATTTATCCAGTGATATCAATGGGGAGCTAAAGCCTGATGGGAGGCACTATTCCACTCACTGCCAGAGTACAGTGGTGGTTTCACACGGGTTATGGCTAGAAAGCAGCATTCCCTAGGCATTCTCCTCCCTTCATTATTGAAAATTATCTCCCCAGCTGTGTCTAATTTGTTAATTTAGGGTGAATGTTCTCTGATTTAGTTGCTTTTCTGGCCTGGCCCTAGGAGGAGGTCCACAACATGGCTGCCTATTTGGTCGCCATTTTCTTTGTCACCCTTAGCTGCTAATTTTCAGTACTATGCCATTGAAGAAGATCAAGCTATACTCTATTTATGTTCCTCAGTTTAGCATGCCATATTTATTTATTTTTAAATTCTTTATTGTTGAAGTTACTACATATGTCTCCTTTTTCCTCCATTGACTCTCACAGCCTGCCCCTTGACCGCACCCCATGCCTTCATCCCCCTCTTGTCTGGGTCCATGGTTATGAATAACAAGTTCATTGGTTGATTTCTTCCTACCCACTCAACTTCCTTTGCTTTTCCTCTGAGGTTTGTCAGAGAAAGATATATAGCACATGATCTCACTCATATGGAGAATATAATGAGCAACATAAACTGATGAGTAAAAATAGATCAAGATACATAGAAGTATCAGACTAGCTTGCCATCTTTAAGTTGATGAAGTTTTTGTTCAGGTTTGTTGAGACATAGTTTACATTAAAAAGTTTGATAACCGGTAATCTTTTGCACTTTTTATGAGCTTTAGATAAATCTAATTTATGACATTTGGTAATAGAATTCTATTATTCATAGACTATTAATTTTATGTGCATTCTTGTCTCTCATGTGTAGATGATGATGTGGAGTCTTTAAAATAGCATAAAGTTTGTTAAGAGCCCTATAGTGCTTAGTATGATCCTGCAAATGATCTGGACACTAACTTTGAGACACAGAACTGTTTGTTCAATCAGAATGTGTTAACTAATATGAAAAAAGTTTGCTGATTGGATTTCTGCACTATAAATATCTTGACCTTTTCTCAATTCTTTCTCAGGGTGTAACAGTAAAATGAAACTCAGTGGCCGACCCTATAGACATATGGGAGTCCTTGGAACATCAAAACTCTACGACATCCGGAAAACGATCTTTACCTTCACTCCACAGGTGTGTGGAATGAGCTTTTTCATGCATAGAAATGAAATAGGAAAGAGTCATTTCAGAAATAAAGTATTTACTTGAGTTTGAACAAGTGTCAGAGTTCCACAGGCCTTGTACATATTAAATTGCTCAGTAAATATTTGTTGAGTTGGACTGAATTGAATTTCTAGCAGAGTTATGCCCAGCGATTATAGTTATCAAGAGTAGTCCTGGGTATTGCAGAAGTAGTGACTAGAGATTTTACAGATGTTTGCGTATTTTAAAAAGTACTACTTACTTTTTATTTGTATTTATAAAAAAAAATGTAGTCTTTTTATTCAGCTGCTAAATTATGTCTTCTCTTTTTTGGGGGGATAGGGAGTGGGCAGGGGCCTCTTAAAAAGCCTGGAGATCTTTGATATCCTCTTCTAAACAAAAATGTCAATACTATTTTAGCCATGATTGTTTCCCTGATGTTTATTAACCACATTATAATAGTAAGCCCAATTATTTGTCCAATTATTTCTAAAGGAGAACAGCATAATATAATGAGACAGAGAAACCATTTTCTGGGAATAAAGCTTAAGCTCTCCATTTGTCATCTGACATCTGAATTAGTGCAGCTGAGATATAGGCAAAAAATATTGGACCATAGGTTATATTTTTTATCTTGCGATTGCTAGCTTTATAACTACTAATCTGCTTTATGTCTCTTTGGCCTTATTTTTACCTATTAAAAGAAGAAAGGCCCTTATTGGGTTGTTACACAAATATAATTGTGTACTTGAAAACACTTTGTAAATTATAATATACTGTAAAATGTAAAAATTATCATATGTGTCATTGGACCACCAGAAGAATTAAGAATTATATTTAAAGGTATTGTTGCCTTTATGACATTATATATGCCCTTTTGAATGAGATTGCTTTAAAATTGCTTTATTTGATAGTTATGAGAGTGAATTATTTTGAGCTGTTATTTTTATTTTCCCCAGTTTATAGACCAGCAACAGTTCTACTTGGCTCTGGACAATAGTATGATAGTGGAAATGCTTAGAACAGACCTCTCCTATCTCTGTAGCCGCTGGAGGATGACAGGACAGCCTACCATCACCTTCCCCATCTCACACACTATGCTTGGTAAGGTTGTATGAGGCATGGAATAAATGTTTATTTGGAAAAAGTCATGTGGTTAGAACTTTAAAATCTTGGAGTCACTGAAGAGCTACTTCTTATCATTTATTATATCAGCAGTTATATATTAGCTTCTACTTTGTGCCAGGCAATTTTCTAAGGATGGGGGACACATGAAATGAATAAGACAGATGAGGTTTCTACTCTCATTGACCTTATATTTTATAATAAACTAGAGGCCTAGTGCACGAAAATTTGTGCACGCAGGGGGTCCCTCAGTCCAGCCTGTGCCCTCTTGCAGTCTGGGAGCCCTCAGGAATGTCTGACTAGGTGGAATAATCAGAGGACAGCATGGCTGGCGAGTGGCCAGCCCCACCCTTGATTGCCCCACTGGTGGACTCCTCTGTGGTAGGTGACCAGGCAAGCTGATTAGGGGATGGCACCAGCTGGCAAGCGACTGGCCCCACCCCACCCCCAATCTCGCCACTGCCACTGCTGGTTGCTGCCACCCCCCCCACACACACCACCATCCCCTCCTTCTGCCTGCTGGCACACAGCTGGCCAATCATTCTGCTGTTCAATTGGTTTGCTTTTATTATATAGGATACATAGCAAATAACCCAATACAAAAGATTATTTCAGGTAGTTTGAGAGCTATAATTTTAAAAAATGTAATAAAATAACTTGGTTGGGAGCAACTTCAGATAATTGGTTTCTAGGTCAATTTACAGAAACTTTGTAAGTACAATTCATTTACAGTAATACTACATTCTTCATCTGTCTTCTCCAGTGAAGCATCAAGATTTTAGAGATAAATTCCAAGAAATCTCCCTCTAAGGCTTATCTAACTGAACCAGTAAAAACTAGCAGGGTTAACATGGGCAAATATGATCTCCCATGCAGTGGGCTTTCTTGTTGTTTTGTTGATGGTTTCTTTTGCTGTGCAAAAGCTTTTCATTTTGATGTAGTCCCATTTGTTTATTTTCTCTTTAGTTTCCATTGCCCTAGGAGCTGTATCGGTGAAGAAATTACTTTGTCATATATCTGAGATTTTGCTGCCTGTGAATTCCTCTAGTATTTTTATGTTGTCACATCTTATGTTTAAGTCTTTTATCTATTTTGAGTTTATTTTTGTGTATAGTGAAAGTTGGTGGTATGTTTCATTTCCCAACACCATTTATTGAAGAGACTGTCTTGACTCCATTGTATGTTCATGCCTCCTTTGTCAAATATTAATTGAGCATAGTGGTTTGGATTAATTTCTGGGTTCTCTATTCTATTCCATTGGTCTATATGTCTGTTCTTGTGCCAGCACAAGGCTATTTTGAGAACAGTGGCTTTATAATACAGCTTGATATCTGGTATTGAGTTCCCATCTACTTTGTTCTTCTTTCTCAGGATTGCTACAGCTATTCGGGTATTATTATTATTATTATTATTATTCCAGATGAATTTTTGGAGAGTTCTTTCTAGATCTGTGAAATATGCTGTTGGTATTTTAATGGGGAGTGCATTAATCTATAGACTGCTTTGGGTAGTATGGACATTTTAATGATGTTGATTCTACCAATCCATGAACATGGTATGTTCTTTCATCTGTTTATGTCTTGCTCTATCTCTTTTTTTCAGTGTCCTGCAGTTTTTCCATGTATAGGTCTTTTACCTCCTTAGTTAAGTTTATTCCTAGGTATCTTAATTTTTTTGGTGTGATGGTAAATGGGACTGCTTTTTTTACTCTCTTTCTGTAAGCTCATTATTGGTGTATAGAAATGCCATAGATTTCTTGACATTAATTTTGTATTCTGCTACATTGCCAAATTCATTTATGGGGTCTAATAATCATTTGATGGCTTCCTTAGGGTTTTCTAAGTACATTGTCATGTCATCTGCGAGTAAGGACAGTTTTACTTCTTTTCCAGTTTGAATGCCCTTTATTTCTTCTTCTTGTCTAATCACAATGGCTAGTACTTCCAGTACTATGTCGAACAGGAGTGGTGAGAATGGGCATCCCTGTCTTGTTCCTGTTCTTAGGGGAAATGGTTTTAGTTTTTGCCCATTGAGTATGATATTAGCTGTGGGTTTGTCATATATGGTTTTTATTATGTTGAGTTATGATCCTTCTATTCCCACCATGCTGAAAGTTTTTATCAAGAAAGGGTGTTGAATTTTGTCAAATGCTTTTTCTGCATCAATTGATAAGACTATGTGATTTTTATATCTGTTTATGTGATGTATCACATTATTGATTTGTGGATATTGTACCATCCTTGCATTCGTGGGATGAATCCTACTTGGTTATGGTGTATGATCTTTCTGATGTACTGCTGATCGGATTTGCTAGAATTTTGGCAACTATGTTCATGAGGGATAGTGGCCTGTAATTTTCTTTCAATGTGTTGTCTTTATCTGGCTTTGGTACTAGGGTGATGCTGGATTCATAGAAGGAGCTTGGAAGTATTCCTTCCTCATGAATTTTTGGAATAGTATGAGGGTTTAATCTCCAACATTTTCAGGGAATTCATACAACTTAACAAAAGGAAGATAAGCAACCCAATAGAAAATGGGCAACAGACCTAAATAGAATAATTTTGAAAGAAGACAGAAGGAAGGCCAAAAGACATATGAAAACATGCTCAAAGTCACTAATTACCTGAGAGATGCAAATCAAAATGACAATGCGATACCATTTCACACCTGTCACAATGGCTATTATCAACAAATCAACAAACTACAAGTGCTGGCGAGGATGCAAAGAAAAAGGAGCCCTTGTGCACTGCTGGTGGCAATGCAGACTGGTGCCACCACTGTGGAGAACAGTATGGAGTTTTCTCAAAAAACTAAAAATGGAACGCCCATTTGACCCAGTAATCCAACTTTTAGGAATATATCCCAAGAAACTAGAAACACCAATCAGAAATGATATATGCACCCCTATGTTCATAGTGGCACAATTCACCATAGCTAAAATTTGGACAGCCTAAGTGCCCATCAGCAGATGAGTGGATTAAAAAACTGTCATACATCTTCACAATGGAATACTATGCTGCAATAAAAAAAGAAGTAATTCGTACTATTTGCAACAGCATGGATGGAACTGGAAAGCATTATGCTAAATGAAATAAGCCAGTCAGAGAAAGATAAATATCACATGATCCCATACTCATTTATGGAATATAACGAACAATATAAACTGATGAACAGAAACAGATCAGGAAACAGAGAAGCATCAATCAGACCATCAAACCTCAGAGGGAAGGTAGAGGAGGGTGGCGGTAAGGGGGAGAGATCAACCAAATGACTTGTATGAATGCATATAAAGTTAACCAATGGACACAGAAATCAAATACTGAAGACATCAGTGGGGGTTGGGAGGCAATGGTGGGATATGGACACATATGTAATACCTTAATCAATAAAGAAATTAAAAAAAACAAGTTGGAAAATTTATCAAAAAGAAATGTAAAAATAATTGATGATTGTTCACTATGGTCCTTATTTTATGGGAAAACTGTATAAATATCTTTCAATATTAAATATAATAATGGACTATAAGAAAATCTAGCAAGGAAAAATGAAAAGGCTTTCCACTTATCTTTCCTTTATTGTCTGGGCTTCCTAACATTACTCACTTAAAACTGGGTGATAGGCTTTATTGTTTTTAGTTCCTGAAGGAATACAGTCAATGATGAAGCATTGCTTCCTTTCTGTGTTTCTGTTGTTGCTTCCAAAAGCCTATTTGTATTTCCAAAGTACATAGAATTCCTTTTTATTAGAGAAGCACCCATTGTCATAAATCATTCCAAGTTCAGACAGACTGTCAGGGATTTTTATGTCACCTCTTAAAGTGCTTCAAAAGCACAGGAGTTGAAGAAGTAGGGTATTCTTTCTTCTTGTCTTTCTTATTTATTTAAGACAATTAATAAGTGCATATTGCAGTCCTGTGCCACACTGTATAGAAATCTCCTAGTGGGAGATTTGCCTCTCCCTTTTGGCATTTCAGAATGAAGAGCCATCTGCAACTGTAAGTAAGAAACCAAGATGCGGTATAGGTAAAATGCCTAAACTGCAGCTTCACACAACAATTTCAAAAATACAACTAAAAGACAAAACGGACATCATCCAGAACCACAGGAAAGCTGACTGCCTGGAAATTCTACAACTATAAGGAAAGAGAAACCACAAGGAAAATCAGAGCAACTGTAAAAGCTTGAGGTATGGAGACACAGGTGCGCTCTTTCAGAGAGGACAGAGCCAGATAGGAGGGTTCTGCTGAGAGCCTGGCTAGCGTTCTTTAGCGGGAAGGATATAAAAGCTCTGGATTGCGCTGAATCCCAGTTCTGACTGCACTGAACCCCAGTTTTGAGCGAGACCCTGGGGACCCAGGCTCATACGGAGGAAATCTGGGCTGTAAGGCATAAACTCAGGGGGGCGAAAGGCAGAGCTCTAGAGGTGCGCATGTGAATTCACTCATATGAATGCACGCAGAGGACAGACTGTTGACTGTGCTGCTGGATTGCCCTAGCAGGAAGGAGACAAAAGCTCCAGACTGCACTGAGCCCCAGTTCTAGGCTAGAATCTGGGAATCCAGATTCATTGGGGGAGAGTCTAGACTGTCTGGCAGCAGGCGAAACTCGAGGATGCCTTTCTCTCAGAGGTGCTTGCAGAGAGTACCGAGGGACACTGAGACTCAGGAACCTTATAGGGCTAGGCTGATAAGAAGTCAAAGCTGTAGGCTCCACCTTGAAACTCCACCCCATCCAAGCTGAGCACAGAGGTTTTTGGAATTTTGCAAGTCTAGTCTAATAAGGCTGTCTCCCGGCATAGACACAGCTGATCCTCACAGCCAATTGGCCTAGAGGCCAACTCCTCCCTCCGATACCAACAACAACAATCAGGACTTAAGTACAACAAGGCTGTACCCATTTGGGAGGAGGGAGGCATGTGCAGAAGGCAGGTGATTAATGTTGTTTCTCTCTCAATTATGTGTCTATCTAACCCTGTGCCTC